GGGCTTGAGGGTGAGTCCTATATGAATTAGCTATGAGCACCAGGGCCAGGCTGAAACAGCATGGCCTGAGTAAATGAGATATTGAATGAGATTGAAATAATGGGGAGATGGCTTAGGCAACTGGCTAAGGCAAAAGGCACAAACTGAAGCTTATTGGGAAAAGCATTAGAATTCACAGCTGTTAGGAGACAAGGAAAATAAAAGAGTTGTTCTTACTGAGTTGTTCTCAGTAGTGGATGGCCCCAACTGAACCCTGAGGTTGGATACTGCAGCCAGTTCTTTAAGCAAGCCTGGGATATAAGGAGCGTTCCTAAGGATCGGCGAAGAAATGTGGTGAGCAGATATTGAACAGGTTAACCAGGGTGTGGTCGTCACTAAACCCTCCTGTACACTCCTCTGTGCTCTCTTTCAAATGCATGCCCTCATTTTTCCTTAAGTAGTGTTACATACATACATATTCCTAAATACTAAGTATGTCCCTACAACCTGCTCAGTCTGTATGTTACTGGTATGTGTATGTTTTCTGGTTCTTTTTAAAAACAGTACCCATGTTTCCTTTGTCCTTAACCTCATACACGCTTTTATTCTTGAAAAACTGTTCTTCTTGCTCAGTTTCCAGTATAATGCAGGCTAGAGGTGGCTAGACATGCCAATGCCGCTGTTAAACACTGTGTGTTTTTGAAGTTTCCTTTGGTGAGTTCATTAGCCCTTTATCTTTAAACTCGGTGCAACTACAGTCTCAGAGCAAGGACGGAATATAGATAAGTTCTTTGCCCCACTGTAACACAAACGTTCACTTGTCGAATTTCTTTTTTTCTTTTTTTCTTTTCTCGAGACAGGGTTTCTCTGTGTAGTTTTGGTGCCTGTCCTGGATCTCGCTCTGTAGACCAGGCTAGCACACGTGTGCTCAGTCTTACTTCTTTGCTGCATCTCTTACTTTTCTTCCACCTGTCTCTGGTCCCCATGGCTCCCTACAGCCAACCTTATGCCTCTAGGGCTTTCCCTAGCAAACCAGAGAGCTTCTAGAATGACATAGAATTGAAAAGAGGGTGAGATGGAACACAAAGATTTCCCCGGACCTGAGATGTCATTCTTAGATGTTCAGCAAAGTATTTTGGGTTTGATAAAACTTATTTTTAAGTGCCTTGGAACACTGTGACTGTAAATAAGAACCCAACGCACCCGTTATTCATTAATGTTTGTTTCCCTGCTGATTCTTCCTACTAAACATCGAACAACACATTTTTTAAGTGCTAGTGAGAAAGAGGTAACTCAGACACAATCTTCGCACAAGGAATTTGTAGTCAAAGAAACTTCCAGCATTTATTCATGCTTGCTTAGTGACCTGTATGTGTTAATTCAGTTGTTTTGTTTTAATATACTGTATAGACCTAGCAGTAGCTGAGGTTTCTAGTACAAGAAAGGAGGTAGGAAGGGCCATGCCTGCATCTGAGGGGTAACACCAGGAATAGGAGGAGGGGACAGAAGGAAGGAAGGAAGGGAGTGGGGCAGGGAGCTGTTCCAGGCCTGAGGGTGGGGGGTGCAGGGGAGAGTGTGCCCTGGCTTCTTTCCAGGTGCTGGGCCATTGGCTACCCCTCCACATGCACACCCATGCCCAAAACTCCTTTGCCCAGCTTCTGTTTTTCCAGCTAGGGTTGAGCCAATTGACTTCTCAGAGGGCAAAGTATTCCACCCTGGTCCCCTGCTCTGAACCCACAGGTCTTGGCAAGGGCTAAGGCAGGGTCTTAGTAATTCCCAAGCAGAGAAACTTGGAAAGCAGGGTCCAGACATTGATGAACATGTCTCAGGCCTATAATTAGTAGTATAATCATAAGTCACATGACTTTGAACTCTCAGTTGTTCTCAGCATGATGAAGACAGAGTACCTAGGCTACTGTGTTATTATCAGAATTAGATAAATTAATGTCATAGAGCAAATAGTTCATGCTGAGAAAGGGGGTAGCTGGCATCTACCTCAGTGACCCAGAAATGCGCCCTTTAATTACTCAAGCATTTAACTAAACCCAAATACCCAAAACTGTTGTTCATCATCACTAGTACATTGCTACAAACTCATCAGAATAAGCAGCTCCTCCAAATCACCTTGAACATACAGTTCTTAGAAAACGGAAAACAGTGTCTCTGTTTTTGTAAACCAGGTGCGACTGTGAGATGATGAGTCTGGGTTTCTTTACTTTGTAGACGTCAGCAGGTGTCTCCACACATTCCAGGACCGGGTTCTGGAGATGACCTATTAACAGGAGAATCTGTTAGCAGGAGCCACTTTTCATCATGTGGGTTAGGAATTAATTTCTAGTAACCAATGTACTACAGGGGAGAAACAGGTTTTGGTTTTGTTTTGTTTTATCGTTCTGACTCTAGTGAGTAGAAGTTTTCAACCCACCAGTGCCCTTAGTTCTAATGCTCTGACTACCAATTCCTGTCGTAGCAAATACTCAGAGAGCCGAGTGCCAGGCACTGACCTAAGTGTTCGCATTTGACTCATGCAGCAGCCAGAAACAGTGCTGAGAGCGCTGTGTTCCGAGCTGTGTTTCACAAACAGGGGACCAGGGCACGCACATGCCGAGAAGCCAACCTATAGCCAAACAGCTAGGGAAGGAGCTGGCTCCCCAGTAAGGCACCGGCTCCTGCGGGCAGACAGCTGCCCCTACTAGACATTGCTCCTCCTACCATTTGAACGGAAAACACAGAGTCAGATTTTCCTGTCTTCATGGAAAGATTATGAAGTTTCCTTTTTCTCATTAAACAACTCATTTTCGGAGACCAGATGGCTTGGTGGTTAAGAACACTGACTGCTCTTCCAGAGGACCCAGGTTCCATTTCCAGCACTCACATGGTAGCTCACATGTCTGTAACTCAAGTCCCAGGGGATCCAACATCCTCTTCTGGCCCAACATGTATGTGGTACATAGACATACAGGCAGGCAAAACATCCATACACATTATAAATAAATAAATAGATCGATAGACAAATAAGATAGTAGATAGATAGATAGATAGATAGTTAAGTAAAATTTTAAGGAATGTCTTGTCATAGTTTTATTAGATTCATTTTACATGCAAAATATTAAAGTTAACTTTCTTATGGTTTCTTTTTTTCATTTTGGTATCTTTGTGATTACTGTCTATTTGTAGCAGTACTATTGACTGTAGACGTCAAATGAATGTAAAGTTTACTTTTGTTTCTCTTCTTTCTTTTTAATTGCAGCGCTCAGGATTGAATTCTGGGCCTTGAGCATGCTAAACAAGCACTTCACCACCGTGTTCCATTCCAGCCTTTTAAAATTAACTTCTAAAGCACGTTAGTTGTGTGTGTGTATGTGTAAGGAAAGTGCTGAAGTTATGGTCAACCAAGTCAGAGGTCTATGACTGAAGGCTTGCTGAGGACCATGGAGCTGAAACAAGTGCACTCTCTGCTGAGTGAGCTGGGCTTTGCCTGCCAAAGTGTAAGGAGAAGGTGATAGAAAGGTCATTGGCCAAACTGGCAGCAAACCTAAGCGACAAGAAAATGGACAACTGGAGGGCCAGCAGAGGGACAATCAGAGGGCAAGGATGTATGAAAGAGAGAAGTGTGGGGGTGTCCTGGTGTCTTAGCTAGGGTTTCTATTGCCATGAAGAGACACCATGACCATGGCAACTCTTATAAGGGAAATGTTTAATTGTGGTGTCTTAGTTACAATTCAGAGGTTTAGTCCAGTATTGTCATGGTGGGAAGCAAGGCAGATATGATGTTGGAGAAGGAGCTGAGAGTTCTTACATCTTGACTCACAAGTAACAGGAAGTGGTCTGTCTCACTGAGCTTGACTTGAGCATATGTGAGACCTCAAAGCCCACCTCCACAGTGACACACTTCCTCCAATAAGGCCACACCTACTCCAACAAGGTCACATCTACTCCAACAAGGTCACACCTACTCCAACAAGGCCACACCTACTCCAACAAAGCCACACCTACTTCAATAAGGCCACACCTACTCCAAAAAGACCACACCTACTCCAACAAGGCCACACCTACTCCAACAAGGCCACACCTCCCATTAGTGCCACTGCCTTGGGGGGCATTTTCTTTCAAAGCACTGTACCCAGCATCCCACAAGCTGCTAGACACTCATGGTTCCTCTGTGTTCCTCCATAGGGTCAGCCCTATGCAACTGGAAAAGACACCACAGTTTCACCCTCGGAAGCTCAGTTTTCACACTTGACCTGCAGAAGCCCTGTCTGATCGCTGACACGTGTGTTTAACACAGGAGTGTTTCCTCTCCAGTTATCCTGAGCTGTCCCGGCTGCAGCCCCATAGTCCGTGGCTCCTTAGGAGCTGAAAACACAGCTTTAGAAGTGGGGTGGGAGCACTAGAACAAATGGTTTTGAGTGTGGTGCTTGATGAATTGACATAAAAATCTCTGGCTGAATGTTGCCTTAAAATTCTGCTTGCCAGGGAGGGGGGGGTGGGGGGGGGAGCGGGATATGAGCTCTCATTTCCAACCTTGACTTGGCTTTGGTTAGCCATGGTAAAAGTTAGAGGGAACGTAGATCCTGCTCCTCTGCTCCCAAGTTCAGAATCTGCCTTGAACTCTGTATTTTCTCCAAATTTAGCTCAAAGGATTACAAAGACTATGCCAATGCTTGCCCTGGGCGATCTGGGCAAGGTGGGCTAATTGCACAACTCTCCCAGGCATGTCCAACCTGTGGCCCTCAGGCTGCATGCGTTCTAATACAGCAGTGAGTGTGGCCCATCACATTACAGACTACAATGCCGTGCCACACTGACAAAAGGCTGGACATCCCTGCTTAGTCCAAACAAAATAAATGTGGATCTCAGGCAGCTATGATATGGCAGATGCTTGTGCCTGCTGCCTAACCAATGGCCTTCCGCTAGGCAGCCACTGTGCCTGTAGGTCATGGATGGTTTGTCAGAACAGCCAGCACAGAAGTCTAAGCATTTCCTCTACCCTTCTTTCTGTCTTTCACTCAAATTCTCAGGATGGGGCCCACGGCACCTTCCCAGGGAGCTCTGTCCAGGTATAGGCATTGGCTAGAGTTCTCCGCAACCTGCAGAGCCAACAGCTTAGAGATGTGAAAAGAGGACTCTCTTCCAGGGCCCGAAAGAACAGCCATTGTCTACCCAGCTCTACTCTGCCATAGAACCTCAGGTGAGACACATTAGCTAGCTCGTGGGCCTCGGTTTCTCATCCAAAACATGGCTGCTGTTCAGCCACTTAAAGGTCCCCCTTGGATTACAAAAAAATCATGATTTTTCTCCCTTTGTTGACACAAGATATGAGTTACAGGTCTCAGGCCCTTTCTTGACAGCAAGTTTTAGTGCTGGGGAAGATGGAAGGGATGGTGACCTAGGATGAGGAAGCTCTGTTGTCACCAATGCGTAAAGACAGCGGACCTGGATGAGCACCAAAAGCAAGCCCACCCCAGCTCCCCTCCCAATCCTTTGGAGGCCAGCCTCACATTCTGTACTCCTCAGTCACCTCGCTTCAGTTCTTCTGGGACATTTGATGTAGGCAAAGTGACTCCATCTCCCTCTAGGGGTAAACATAGCCGTGGCTTTAATTATTAACATTTCAATGTCGTTATTGAAAACATTTATTTTAATACTACTGTAATAAGATGGAAAATTTTCATGGATGGCCCTGCAGCCAATTTCTTATCTGCTGCCGCCAAGATAAAGACAGGAAAGAACAAAGCTGAAGGAGGCAGCGGGGATGAAGACAGCAGCTAGAGACCAGTTAGGCAACTCGGGGGCAGGGACCCCCAAAGCAACAGTTTTAGGTATATTACTACTGTAGGCCAGGAATGCCAGGAGAGAACTCTAGTTCCTAGTTCCTCGTTATGGCTTCTCCCAATGAGTACTTCTGCCTAGAAGCTGTATGTAAGGGCTGGACTGAAAACCCTCCCCTAGACACTGTCCCTCTGGTGAACAGCTTTAAAAGTGATCCAGGTTTTCACAGTGGACATGGGTAATATCTACACCATAATACAATTTCAGCTCATCTCTTAAAAGATTTTAGGGTCCCTGCTCCTGAGGGGACTGTTTCAATGTTTCAGTAACCTTCAAGGCCACTGAAGCTTTAGATCCCATCTCCCCTTTCCCTGGGAGGTACCAGCTTTTCCACTCTTTACAGTTGGTTCAACAACAACAACAACAACAACAACAATAGAATATCTCCGGCCCTGGGTGGAGAGGTCACCTTCTGGTGTGTTCCGAAGCTTAGGGCATTCCATACTAGTGTCTCCTTAACAGCTAATCCAGTTGGGCCTGTCAGTCAGCTAGCCAGAAAGACCATGCCTCAGAAAGACCCACTAAGAAGATGGGAAGAATAATTATCCTTTAATGAGAGAATGTACTTTGTTGTCCCTAAAATCATGCCTCCTTGTGGTCACTTAAGGAGCTGCACCCTGAGAAATAGCCTTTCCTTTTCTCTTTCCCATCTTTGTCTTTTGGATACCGGGGGCCTCAGCGTGTTTTCTCCGGCACTTAGCGTCTCCCCGTGTTCTCTGAAGCTCCTCCCCTTCCCCATAGCTGCCTCGTAGTGGCTTCATGACCTCCATTGCTGAATGTGCCGACCTAGCTCAGAGACCTAGCTCCTCCCTCCTCTCTGCCATGTCTTTCTTCCACAGCTGCCAGGACTCACTGCTCGTCTACTCTGTTGTTTTCTCTCAAACTCTCTCAAAATCGCCTTCAAGCTTTTTACTGAGTCCATTTAAAAATGTTTTTTATTGATGAGACTAGGACTCAAAGAAGGACCCCCAATTTTCCTAGTAACACCAGGAGCCCCAATAACCACTATTTAAAAAGATTCTTTTACGTGCACGACCTACACTTATCACTGCTATTGCATCTAAAAATGTTCTTTTTGGCCGGGCGGTGGTGGCGCATGCCTTTAATCCCAGCACTCGGGAGGCAGAGCCAGGCGGATCTCTGTGAGTTCGAAGCCAGCCTGGGCTACCAAGTGAGTTCCAGGAAAAGGCGCAAAGCTACACAGAGAAACCCTGTCTCGAAAAACCAAAAAAGAAAAAAAAAAAAGTTCTTTTTGATTTCCTTAACTCATTCTACGTGAGTGAGTGGTTTTGCCTGTATATGTGTATGTGTGCCAGGTCTGTGCTGGTGTCCACAGAGGTCAGAAGAAAGACAGCATCAGATCCCCTAAGACTGGAGTTACAGGGGTGCCAGTGAGGGCTGTGAGCTAGACAGACTCCCTGCTGGCTAGACAGATAGGGAGGCGGCCATGACTAGGTGACAAAGATGTGAACTTCTGAGAAGACCAGGTTCTGCCTCTGTCTCCCGACCAGAGACAGAAGTCTGGCAGTTTAAAACAAAGGCCGTGTGGGCATTTTCTCCTGCTAGTAGGCCCTTTGCTGATGGATGGGCTCAGTGAGTTCAAGACCCGAGCAGGACACAGTTATGCTACAGTTGTTGGCTAGTCAGCCACCCTGTCTTCCTTCAGACTGACCAACCCTAAATGAGGGGTGGAGGACCCTTCAGAGACTTAGCTCCAACCCTCTAGAAGAGACTGGATTTTCGGGTTCCTGGACCCCCCTCCACAAAGTGAAGGGTCTTTCTCCACTGTGTGTCTTTCCCTGTGTGTCTGCTTCATGTGTGTGTTTCCTCATGCCCGATACATGTCTTTCTTCAACTGCTGAGTCCGTGTGCTGTGTTCAGGATTTCTCTGCTGCTACCTGTCCAGCTGGAGATTTCCCCCTCACCTTTTAATTCTTTAACTAGCAGAGGAAATGAATCCCATGTAGAATCCTGAAGATAACACTTATGCCAATGTGGCTGCTGGGAACGAAATCCAGGACTTTGGTCCCCAGCAAGAGCAACAAGTGCTTAACTCTGAGCTTTCTCTCTGGTCCTAGCTTTCCAGCGTTTTTCAAATCTCAGTTTGAAAGAAAATGAGGAAGAGGAGCCAGAGTGTAGACTGAGAACCCTGGTGTTTACTGCTTAAAGGAACCAGAAGTTCATGGCAGCCTGGCTGGACTGAGAAAAACCTGCTCAGCTTAGGAAAAAACCCAGCAGCAGCAAAAAACATGTTCGATCTGGCCAGAGCTCCAGGGGCTGTACCACCCCCATCAGGCCACCCTCCTAGGGCCTGTTCCACACTGGCAACTCAGAGACGCAGCACTCAGTCTCCGGGCAGCAATTCTCCTGAGGCACATGGTCCCTGAAAGCCAGCTCTGCAGACTTTTCTCGGCACCCAGCAGACGTTAGGCCACGTGCAAGAGAGAGAAGGAGGGCAGGAGGAAGACGGCTCTGCTGGCTGGCCTTGGCCCCTGAAGAAAACAAGCCGTGGCAGGGGAGAAACATACTGTTCCCTACAATCTGATCAACTGTAAACCTCTGGCCTGCACACCCGGATGCCGAGGCCCAGGGGCGAAACTGATTAGACAGGCAGGAAAGAGGAGCGAGAGACTGTTCCTGGGCAGATGAGAAACACGTTGTGAGGAAGGGGGGTACCGTGAGTGTGTGTGTGTGTGTGTGTGTGTGTGTGTGTGTGTGTGTGTGTGTGTGTGTG